GGCCAGGGGTGCGGGTTCCCAGCCGGCAGGGGCTCTATGGAGCCGGACCAGCTCCCCCCTCATGCTGGTGCAGCCCCACCCGGCTCCACAGACCCCTGCCAGCCTGTGGCCCACTTTGGGCCCCACCGGTGCTGGCCCTGGGACATTGGTCCCAAGATGGTGACGAGGGGGGCGGGGCACCTGTCTAGGGGCGGGGCTACCCATGCGGCCCTCGACAGCCTGCCAAAACTGGGTAAGTGGCCCTCTGACCGAAATAATTGCCCGCCTCTGACCTAATTGGCTCTGTCTTTCTGACTTTGAGATAAACCCCTAACCTGGAGTTCAGGATTCTTTAAACCTGGGCTAGCAGTATGTTTGAAGGTATAGATTTGAGGCTGGGTTTTGCTTCAGTCCAGGCTGGCAGCAAATCTGTTCTGCAGCAAGCAGAACTGAGGCTAATCAAGCATGAGTGCTGTTAAGTTTTCTGGGGTTTGGGTTGTAGCCATGTTGGTCTAAGGACATAGGCAGACAAGGTTCCTTGGGTGAATTTGATATCTTTTATTAGACCAACTCAAATGGTTGGAGAATAGTTATTAAGCAAGCTTTCGGGTTCAAAAACCCTCCGTCAGGCTAAGGAAGCTTCAGCAGTTGGTGTGTGCTCTAAGTTTTCCAGCACTCTCCCACAAGTCACCGTGGCTGTACTTTCACATCTTTTCTCTCCTTTTCCACAGCTGTCTACACTTTTCCACAGTCATCTACAGTTACGGTGGCCACTGACACATCCCCAGAATACAGGACATCCTGTTGGTGGAGGTAGAGCAGGTGTTTAATTAATTTAATGACTTTTTTGTTACATAAATTCTTGGGAATATATGAGAATTCCGTAAGCCAATGGCTTTTAGAATATTTTTTTCTTTTTTTCTTTGTTTGATAAAACAGTTCCGAATAGTTCAGATGAATGCAGGATGATAAAATGGCAGTCTTGCTTGATTGGGAAAACTAAAGCATCATAATCTTTAAAGAGAACTCTTTGTAACTGTTGACCATAAACTGAGCATTTAGTAAGTAGCTGAAGTAAAATCTTGCCTAAAAGAGAGTGATTGTAAGTCAGCGTCTTTACAGGTGCAGGGCAAAGTTGAAATTTCAGGTGGGGATGTATAGCTTTTTTTTTAGCACATTTTACTACAAGAGCAGTTTGGAAGTGTCTCATATAGGTTTATTTTCTGGCTGTTCAAAGAAATGCTAGATGAGAATGCTCTTGAGATTCCCTATTTTTTAAATCACTCCAGTGGAGTGAGTCTCATGGTGGTGCAAGCTGCTGTTGGAAAATGCATATGCACAGCCCGGGGCACAAGAACAGATGGTTCTCATGGGTTTGTTATTTTGTTAAATTTGCTAAACACAGAATTAAGACAAAGATGCATTTGTTTTTTCTTTAATTTTGCCCCCCTCCCTTCCTTAGTTAGTTGCTAGAGTTAACCTTATAGTTTGCATTACACTTCACAAAGATATAAGTGACTGGGGTAATTTTATGATGCAGGCTCTGTCCTTCTAGCAGAGCTAGCACTCCAAAGGAGCATCCTGATTTAGGCTGAGAGGTCAAAGTATCATCTTAGTCTCATGCCAGTATTTTAGGCCATAAGAGAAGAGTAATTAGTGAATCTACTTAAGTGCAGGTGGTTGGTCAAGTTTAACTATCTATAACCAGCACTGTTCCTACACTCTTGGCAGCCCCGGGCAAACTTTTAGTATTGGGCCCCCCTTTGCCAGAGATAAGGATAATAATAATTGGACAACAGAAAAAAATGACCATTTTTGGGCTCACTTTCTGTCCAGGCCCCAGGTGGCTACCCAATTCACCATTCCTGTGGCTGGCCCTGTTTATAACATATATTGAAGTTAAGAGTTGCTATCTGATTAGACCCATGATGAAGATGGATTCTAAATTGTCTAGAGAGGTCTGCTGTAGAACAGCAGAAATATGACTGAGAAAGGATATGAAACTGAAATAGGAAAGCTCATTATAGCATGACAGGCTGGTTAGAACTGTGTGTATGGCATTAAAATATGTAGTACATCTAAGAAGTGTTAGAGTGACATAATTGGAGATTAATAGAATCTCTTCGATAAACAGAGATAGCTCTTTAGCTATTAGCATTCAGTCTTTTCCATAATTTCCCTCCAAACCCTTTTCTCTTAAAAGTCTCCAAGGTCCACATCCTTTGTGTCTCTACTGAAGCTAGTTGTGATATGAACAAAGACCTCCATACTGTTTTAGGACTGGGTGCCTCCAGTTTTCACATGTACAGTACTTTGTAATGAATTTCCAGGGGAAAAAAGTGGAATTCATTTTCTTCAAATGTTTGCTGCAACTCCAGCATGGTCCTGGGTTTGTCTGTGAATAATAAATGATAGTTCTGTCGTAGTCCATATATTCCAATTAAAGAATTAATAGTAATGTGATTAGTTCAGCCTTATAAACTGGCTCATTTTATAAACCTAAATACATTTAGGTACCTACATTTAAAAAAAATTGGACACTAAATAGCTGTGCTTGATAAATTAGTGAAGATGTTTCCCATTTCCTCAAATGGAACATCTGATCTATACACCTCACTGATCTATGATACTTTATAAATAGCCCTGAGCCTATGGCAGAAGTGATAGTCACTTCCAGAAAGAAGCTCATGATACCCTGTATTCTATGTGCATTACCTCTGACTCCTTCCAATAAGGAAGGAATCAGAGGTAATACACATTGAGTATCAGTCTGTTAAATACCATTATTTGAGAAACGCCCAAATTAGTTGTCCTTTTGTTGATTTTATTTTTTTTAACTTTTCCTCTCCCTTTCTTCCTTTCTTTCCCACATACTTAAATTTTCTTTACTAAGGTCCACATAAGATCCTACATTCTGGAACCTAGTGAACTCAGTATGCATTTGTGAGTTCTAGATGTTGTTTGTAATCCATATGCTGTACAATTCAACTTTTTATAGATTATAAAAACATTCTGAAGACTGTTCGTATTTTCAGGAGCTCAAAATAACTTATTTTCCACCTTATAAGTTTTGAACTCTGGCAAAAAGGAAAATAGCATACTTTTTTGTTTGTTTAAATACTTCTAGAAGTGTAATTATTACTCTCTCACATGAAACCCCTGAAGGATTATTTCATGCAAAATAAATAATAGCAGCAGCAACTCTGAAAAGGTTTGAGGGCTTTACTTGCGATTTGATAGAATTTTTCAAATATTAATGTTTGAAAGTGAATGCTAGAGAGATCCAAAGGTGGATGATTAGTTATCGAACAGAAGATTGGCTTATATTGTTTGAGTGACACAATTTTATTGTACAATAATTCCAGAATAGAAGAATGCAGTAGGAGGTGCCACCAGCTAACAGATGTCTATCATACAGGCTAAGTACAGACAGTCAAAAAGCCTGAGGCTGAATTGATTCAGTCTTTGCAGGGTAGTCTAAACAGCAGAGATTAAACTGAAACAGAAGTGAACAGACATTTACAGCCACATGCCTGCAGTGGTTCCGGCCAGAAGCTGGGGGGCACTAAAGCACGGCTCTCTGGCACATAGCCAGCATGGGCTGTGTGTTTGCTTCTTCTTCCTGCTGCCCCTGAGGGCTCTGGGATTTGCAGTCCTTAATCACAGCAGCAGGACTCCGCAGGGTTGCTTATCACTTCCTCTTCCAGCTTCAGGTGCCTCTGGGATTTGTAATCCACAGTCGCAGCCAGCAGTAAGTTTGAGTGCGGGAAGGAGTGTTTAACCCCCTTCCCTGGCCTCAGACCCCAGCTGGGATTTACTTGTGGGGGTCAGTCCCCCCTCCTCTGCAGACTGGGCTGCATACCCAGCCAGGCATGACCCCCCACCCCCTTGTCAGCCAGCCCTCATTGCTCTAGCTAGGGAGCAGAGGGGTGGGGCCAGCACTGCTCTCAGGAGCAGACAGGACAGCCCAGCCCAGCCCGGGCCAGCCCAGGGCTGGAAAGCAAGCAGGGGACTGTGATTTAACTTGAACCAGGAAGGAGTCTGGGACAGAAGTTTCATAAACCGATTTGATCCAGATCAGTTAAGTCTGATACTATACTCAACCAGGTTTATCTTAAACCAGTTTCAGCCATTTTGGAACTCGCTTATGTGCACCGAGCTTCTGTTTTGTTACAGGTTTAAACCAGTTTCTGATTATTTAAACCTGTTTATGTGTAACTTCTGTCCCTAGCCACAATATTAGTACAACCTTAGCTTTTGGAAAGATCAAAAGAGTTATTTGTATTCCATATTCTTTAGCTACTAGTGTATATAGAGCTGGTCTTTGAGGTCCCTGGCAATCCTTACTCTTATGATTAATGATAACTAGTAACTCTTCCACACACTGAAGGAATTAATGAGTTGATAAAATGAGAAACCAACCATAAAAGTGTTCCTCGTTAAATGAGTTGTGGGGAGATCAGGATTTGTGGGGCAAGTAAGTTAATCAGCAGGGCTTGTCTCTGCCTAACTGGGCTCCTGGGTGTGGTGGGGGAGGATTAAACTCCTTGGCAGGGGGAGCCCCTTGGCCTCCCTGGATGGGAATCTTGCTAACCCCCAACTGGGTTGCAAGGTTCCTGTTGGCATAATTGGGATTGATTCTCAATGCCAAGAATCACATGCATGTGTGGCATACCAGGATGCATGATTGTTGGGACTGGGGATCAGATCCTATTGCACCATTATTTAAATTTTGCTAGGGTGTGAGTTGCTGAGTTTGGATGGAGTGCATGAGCAAAAAACAATTGGTTCTTTGCTCAAAGCAGTCTTGAGTCAACGTAGTGGTAGTTTTTGCATATATAGCATTGCTTTATGTTAAACTCACCCCCAACCAGACACAGATCCTAGGGGCTACTCCTGAGCCAAGTCAGTGGGGCCCCATTCGAGTGGCAGTGTGGGTCCAGGGGGCATGTGGCTGCATGGAGCCACATTCAGGCAGTATTGGGTAGAGCCAGGGTCATTCATTGGCAGGGAGCCAGGGATGTGTGGTGGCCCAGGGCTCCATGCAGCTACACAGAGCTGTGGTTGGGCAACAAAACAGAGTTGAGCCAAGGGTGTGTTGTGGTGTGGACCTGGATGTGACTATGGGTGCATGCCTCTAGCACCATGCCGCTGCCTGCCCAGAGCTCTGCATTGCTGCACAACCCAGCTCCTTGCTGGCACATGCCTCACACTCCACAGTGCCTGAACACAGCTCTGCGGCACCACATACCCTTGGTCGTGCACTGCCATGTACCCCTGGCATTGCCAACCAGCCAGAGTCCCATACAGCTGCATGGCCTCAGCTCTGTGCTGTTGCCTAGAGGTGCAGAGCTCTGGCCAGCATGCCAGAAGCATGCTGTAGCGTGGTGCTAAGGGTGTGCACTTCTGGTAGCTTACCAGACTACCGATGGGCTGAATACAATGGTTCCATGGGCCGAATCTGGCTTTTGGGCTGTATGTTTTATGCCCCAGCTTTACATTTAACTATCATTGGTAATGTAAGGTAGTTGTTAGATACCCAATTAATAGCAAAGCATTTAATTTTCAAGATACAAGCCTAGCCCTAAGAATTTTCAATAGGATACAGGTACAAAATGTAAGGGCGCTTTTCCCTGTGCTCCGGGGGGACGGCACTGTAATGAGAGCTGCTCCTAAAACCACTCTAATTAAAGCACTGCAGTGTCTCGTGTATTAGCATTCCCATGCTTCAAAATGGTGGTGGGGGCATTTGAACTAAAGTTTGTCAAGTGCCCCACTACCATTTTGAAGCATGGGGATGTTGATACACGATATGCGGGAGA